TGGATGGATGGATGGATGGATGGATGGATGGATGGATGGATGGATGGATGGATGGATTGACTACAACCGCTTTTGACCACATGCAGTACATCGTCAACCCTACTCACGATTACATGACAGCATATCAGAATATTTTCACTAGCACAGATATTTACGGACCTTCCTTACCTGACAACGGGTTTGTTATAGCAACTCATATTGTAAACATTCGCAATTCCCTTAATTATTTCCTTCTCTATTGTCTCTTTAATCCCCATAATAAACCAATTTAATCGTCTTCTCTTTTTTCTGTCTGCTGCATTTCTCTCTATTGTTGTTTTTTTCAGCTACTCTTGGTTTGCAGGGGGGAAGTGGCTTTAAAAGAGGGGATGTTGAAAACGGGCAAACACAACCACACTGTGCTTGACGCAACTGTTTTGCTCTAGAGTCCATACTCACCTCTTCCCCTGGAGGTTTCAGAAGCAAACATCTTATTAGGGCTGTGCTGGTGCCTGTTAGCTGACAGAGAGCAGGAGTTTCTTAAGGTGTAGCGACAGGTCTTGAGCAGACAAAAAATTCACAGCGACTTTAAAGTGCTGTGAAAAAGTATTTTCATACTTTTTTCTTTTCATTCTTTCTCATTTATGTTTTATTACATCAACCATATTTCAATAATTGATTTTCTTACATCACCTGTCTAGGTTGTACCCCTTGCGTCCCTGCTTGTGATAAGCTTGACGGAAAATGGATGGATGGATTTTCTTACAGTAATTATTTCTATTAAACCAGAACCTACTGGAATCAACATGTCCTTGAGAAGTTTTTGCACCATAATTCTGGTCGTTCGCCGTGGAGGAATTTTAGTCCACTCCTCTTTGCAGAATTGCTCCAATTATGCCTAATTAGAGGATCAACAAGATGAATTTCTGGAGTTTCCAGCCTTTATACTCAAAACCAGCTATACTTCTTAGGTACCAAATTTAGTTTGATGATCTTTGACACTGAAGTGTTACATGAAAGCAAAAACAAAGGAGGTAAAACAAGTTGCACATAACTTTATGATGGGAAATACATCAAAGGATTTTTTTTTTCCGATATTGATTTCAGTTAAGTAACTAAACATCCAAGCTGCTTCGTGGTCCCTTACTCAGAGTTTTCTCTGAGCAGCCCTTTGTTAGTATTAGTGTCAAAATTAAGTCATAGCATACCTTAATAATTAAAGGGTGGTCTTCATTTTCTGTATACTCAGTGGAAAGACAGTTCTGGCCGACCGAAGCAACTAAACACCTCAAGCCTCGCCCTTTGGCAGCTTTCAAGTCCCTATACTTGTCATTTTTTTACCTAACACTCACACAGCACACATAAACGCCTCACCATTACCCGCTCTGTTTTCCTTTTCGGACCAGAGACGGAGAAAGTAGAGGCGAAGAAAAGCAAAGCCGAAGACGTTAGCGGCGAGGAATAAAGCCCGCATTGTTGGCAGAGGAAGTCCCGGTGCCGATAATTAATCATCTCGAGTGTTTGTCTTTCCTGACGCAGCATCCTCTCCAAGAGCTGCCATAAGAGGGAAAACAAAAATATATGAGCCGTTGAAAGGAGGGAAATAAAGACGGTCATTAGACTCATTTCCCCTCTGCAATGGTTTCCACTGGTTGGATGATATTCTGGTGATTGGACTGAAGGTTTTTTCTGTGAGACGGCCGTCTGTGGCTGTTTGTTTGTATGTGTTCTAACTTAGTGGAGGTGATGACAAAACCTTTTTCTGCCTGTCACAGCTTTTCATGAGTCGTTTAATCCTAAGGAAGACATTTTTACTTCTGGAAGGGGCAAAAAAAAGCCTACAAACGAAATGTATGGATGCTATGAATTGCTTCAGAGCATCCCCACCACCGTAATTGGTTGGTTTCCCACCCCCTATACAGAACAGAGTGGGAGGAGGAGGGATGGACGCAGGAGGCAGTAGAAGGTCAAAGGTGAGGAACCGAAGCTGTAATGGGGTCGTACGTTGAGGCCGAAGGGGGGAGGAAATATCAGATAATATGAGATATAACGGTCTTCATGATATAAATGGTGAGTTGCGTGACTAGTCTTTGCTCAGCACGGCGACTGATGGAGCAAAGGGCTGTTCTGTTGGAGGGAGCAACATGCCCTGGACCTAACATCCACAAGAGAGACACACACGTCTCTAAACACGCTTCATGGCAGAACATGTGGCAGTTCAGTAAACCGAAATACTGAGAGCAGGTGTACAGTGTCTTACAAAATCATTCATACCTCTTAGACTTTATCACATTTGATCACATTACAACCACAAGCGTGGGATTGTGTGTGATAAATCGATGCAAAGCAGTGCATAACTGTGAAGTGGGAAGAAAAATGAAAAGAGAAGGAAAACATTTTTTTTACAAAGCATTGCATGTGTTTTGTGTTAAGCCCCCTGAGTCAACAGAACCTCAATCTGCTGTATTTAAAGCTGTAAGTCTTTAGGTGTATGTCTCTGCCAGCTTTGCACAGCTGACATTTTTTGCTTTTCTTTGATTTAAAATATCTCAAACCTATAAACATCAGTTTCCAAGTCTTCCCAGGGATTCTCAATTAGACTTATACCTTGGTGACTCTAAAGGCTGGTTTATGTTTGAGGCATCCAACTCTTCAACGTCTCTTCATGGAGCTGCTGCATGACCACATTTTTTCATGCAATGCAAACCTAACTATGTAGAGAGTTTCATCTGCAAAAGCATGGCGGATGAGTGACATCTTTTACTGGCGTGGATTCACAAATGTAGAAATTAGTCGACATCTTAAGATTGGTCTGTAAATAACAAAATGATCAACAGATAACAGTGAACAACTGTTATAGAGAAATTGATGTCATTCTTGAACGACAAAACTTGAATTGAAAATTATTAACCCTTTAAAGCCCGATCCAAGAATAAAACAAAACAGAAAATTACTTTTTTTTGGTTTGAAGTCCTTATTTGGCCTTTTAACAAAATATGTAAAAAGAAAAAACAGTAATACATTTTTGATACTAATAATTTATTACTATGCGATAAGTCAAGATTATTTTTTGTGTAGTCTTCTGCCCTCTGTTATCAGGTAAATCTGATTGTGTGCAATATGATTTTGAGCAAAGTTTTTACCATTAAATTATGCAAAAGGTGTCAGACGCAAAACATTTCAGAAACCGTATGTATCAAATATGATACGTTTGGCATTACAGGGTTAATTTACTTTTCGTTCTGCTTGTTGTGTGTTATGGTAGCGTTCGGTCTGTGGTTTTATAGATATTTATTCTTATTTAATATATTGGGATCACAAAATAGCTGAGGACAGGAAATAATTTAAACCTGTGTTTATTTTGACCTCTTTTTTTAAATATATATCACCTCTTTATTATCAATAACTGCACATTACAGAAGCTCATTCCCGGTAATGCTCAATTTTAAACGTATTTTTATAGTGGGTTGTTTCTACTATTATTATTCACTTATGTTCTGATTAATATTGACTTTTATTGTGAAGCATTTAATAAAATTGCTGCATGTCTAGATTTGCATTAAACTTCTTGTTTCTGTTGGAAGTGCTCAAAGAACCTTGTAAGGTTATAAAAATCCCAAAGCTTTTGTTGTCCCTTTGGATTGGCCCAATATACCCGCTGGATGTGCAAAGTGGCATTTATGCCATCCAAAAGGGAAACCAATATGTTTGATGAGTCTGCCTTATGTCTGAGAAATGCTCTGTCTCTCTTTTTCATCGTACATAACAGCGCCGGCGTGAGAGACTTTGTAAAGAGTAACATCGTTGTCTTTACTCTGACGTGAAAAATCTTTCCCTGCATGTTCAGTGTTGACTGAATGAAAAACAAAACAAATCAATGGTCTCATTGATCAGTCTCTTTGGCAGTGTTTTCAGCTGCTAATTGATGTTATTCCCCACTCACACTTGCTGATGCTTTTACTTGTTTTCTTTTTTCACAGTGAGTCAAGACAAGCCCTCCAGGAAACACATCACCAGCACAGCATCCTCTAACCCTGAACCCAGGAAAGATAGCCTTCCTCTGGGCACCAGCATCAATGAGAGCAGCCTCCTGCTGGAAGTAAGAAACCAGATGACCTGCGTGTTCGTGTGTGTGTGTCCTGTGTGAGTGACGTCTGCTTCTGATCACTTAAACAGAAAGTGTTTTTTCGGCACACAAACAACGCCGTTTGGTCCGTTTCAACAAATAAAACCTTCTGTCACATCGTGCCGTTGCACTTTCCTTCCCCTGTGGATGGCACCGTCAGTGAACCGCCCTGTAGTTTGCACACGCGCCTGTAAGAAGATTTGTCTGAGCGAGTTGCCCTCCAGCGCGACCTCCCTCATGGATCTGTGGTGTTGCGTGACATACGGGCGAGAGGACTGCGTCGGAGCTGACGGAGGGCTGTGGGAACTCTCACGGGCAGCCGCTGAGATGCGTGCGAGTCAACGTGAGCCGATCTCTGCCCAAATACATGAGCTCAAGTGTGAAAGTGGCAGAAGAGAGTGAGAAGAAGTCAAAACAAATGCTAAAACACTTTTTACTCACTTGACCTAAGACCCTTAATAAGATCTGGATGCAGCAGGACATCCAAACTTTAATGCAAACCCACACCCGTGAGGACATACAGACAGACAGACAGATAACACACTGCATGGGTTATTTAAACAGACCCAGAGCACACTGCAAGGGAACTACGCATGCAGATCATAATTACACTCTCCATGACCCGTTGGCTCCCAGGGAGGCTACAAATTATGACATTGGTCCTTTTCCAGGATTCAGAGGCGATCCACTGATGCTGTTAATGTGTTAAGTCCCCCAGTTGAACAGTCAACAAAGGAGCAGTTTGAGTGTAGTGATGTTTCATCTACTGTGCGTGACTTCGGGTGTTAATGACTGTGAGCGTTTTTTTAATGTTTTTTTATGCAAAATAATCCAAACAGAGACATCAGACTAATTGTCGTTAGGCTAGTTTATCAAGACTCAAGAAAAAGGGGTTCTTTATTCATCAATTAGATAAAAAAATCAAGAAACTTTTGGTAAAATCCGGTGCAATTATGTGCCTGTAGATGTCATCTGATTGGTTAACAGTGTCCATCTGTGTTATGTCGTAAAAACGGCAGCTCTTCTGTGAAGGCCTAAGAGGTTTGTTCGGGAAAAATAATAAGCTAGAAGCATTATGAAGGCCAAGGAATATGACCAACAAGTCAGGGAGAAAGTTGAGGAGATATTTAAAGCGGGATTTACAACATTATCTTATGCTCTGACACCTCTCAGAGCTCTGTTTATCAGTTAACAAGGGAAAGAGTGTGGTCAAATTGTAAACAACCTCAAAGAGGCTGATAAATTTGCAGGAGTTGACAGAGGATGATAGAGCAAAAAAATCAAAATCTTGTAAAGTCATTTTTTTCTTAAAATAAGTGCATTTGTTCTTGAATTGAGGAGATAAAAGAGACATTTTGCCAATGGAACAAGATAATTTACACTTAAAATAAGAAAACACAATTGCATTGTCTAATTTAAAGAGACTATTATCTAATTATCTTATTTTAAGAGTAAAAATACTGATTCCATTGGCAATCTATCTCATTTACCTACTTAAATTAAGGGTAAATACACTTAATTTAAGACATTTTTACTTATTTCTAGATCGTTTTTCAAGTGCACAAAGCTGGACTTTATAGAAGAGAGGGAAAAAGAGAGTCATTGTTGAACAAAAGCCATAAAAAGCCCTATTTGCAGTTTGATACTCCACATGTGCGGGAAATATAGCACTGCACATTACTGTGAACACAGCATCTGTATGGTGAAGGTCGACGTTGGTGGGAAGCCAGATGGAGCTAAATCCGGAGTAGAAAGGAAACTTGTTAAGGACAGATATAGAGCTGAGATCCAGAAAGAGGTTTATGCACCAGCAGGACAACATACCTGTACACCCAGCCATAGATCAGAGCATTTTCACCTGAACGGCCCAATCAGGGTTCAGACAGAAATCCAGTTCCGAATCTGTGACAGGATTTAAAGACTGATCATCATAGTCTCTTTATCCAGTCTGACTGAGCTGGAACTGTTTCTTGTTGCACAAAAACGTCTTAAGATGTAAGCTAAAGCTTTCAGCTTCCCAAGAGGGTTGTTTGTAGCTGCAGAGATTTTGTGCCGCTGGTCAGATGCAGGTGTTTCCATTACCTAAAGGCTTTAGTATGCAGGGAAATGATGAGAAAAGCATGAAAACAGCAACCTGCATAGAGCTTCCATTTAGTTTTTTTTCTTGCATTTCTGTATTATTTTCTGTGTGTTTAAAGTTGGGGCGGCTCTACAAAGGTTTGAGATAAATACATGGAAAACATTCAGTTTTTTTTTTTTGCTGTTTCAAATGTGCTTCCATATTCCTCCATAGCTAATGAACATCTCTATAATGTGTTTGAACATTTGCACAAAAAAAAGCACAGTACTCATCTGTAATAATTTGCCGTTGGTATCCTTTTGAAACACTAATTAAAGCAATCAGTAAAAAAAACAGCTTTTGCTTACTTTGCCTGAATATTTTCTTCTCGGTTTAAGATCTGAGGTCTTTTTTTTTTGTTCCAGGAGAAGAAAATTGCCAAAGTCCTTCAAGGTTTTATTGTAGCATTTATTGCAGTGTTTTAGTCACTTGGAGAAAGCGTGGGAAAAAAGAAAAAACAAAGTGCGGCACTGACTAAATAAACTTGCGTGCAACTGACATAAAAAGCTGACCTCTTCTTGGACTTGTAGGACTTAATGAAAACAACATGACATTCCTCTATATTTAGTATATTTTCATTTCTATTGTTTGAGGACACAAAACAAACACAGAGATGAGGATAGACAAATAATGTGTGGCTCTGATCCTTTTACAGGTTATTCTTCATTTTTGAAACTAATGCCAGAAATGTTTGGATTTCTGTTGCATATTGAATAAAAAATATATATATATATCTGTTTTCATTTAGATGTTTTACTTTAGGCATAAGCATTCTCTTTCTGGACCATATTATAACTCGAAATCCTTGCTTAGGAATCTTTAAAAGAAAATGAATAAAATGAGCTGCATTGCTATAAATTTATTCCCCAAATTGTTCACATTTATCTGTTAAGAGTTGCTGGCAGAGAAATCAGTCGATGCCTGTGAGTTCATGTGTGTGTTTGGGTCAGCGGGAGGACATGTGCCAGCAGTTGAACTTGTCAAACATCATCTGCATCAAGGCGACTGAGCACCTATCTCCCATCCTCCTCCCCCGCTTCTCTCATCATGCTCATCCTGCTTATATAGATGGTTTAAAAAGAAGAAAAAAAAAGATATTATATCATAGTTGAGATATTTTTCTAGGTTGTGATTTTACAGTTTGTCTCGAGTACATCTGCGTGCTTCTACATTAAAAGAGACTTATCAGTTCACTGAGTTTACAGGGTGGGTTGGATGATGGAGCGTGTGCAGTGGCTGCCTAATAATATCTCCCATGGATGGTTATCAGATCACTGTTAGGTGTTTGTGAAAGGGGGGGTGGTGGGTGGGAGTGTGAGTTAAGTTACCATGGGGATGAACATCATGTAACCCCCCGTCACACACACACACACACTCACAGATCGGAAAAATCCTGCATATTCTCGCTGTAAAACAGAGGTGACAGAGTCTGGCAGCAGCAGTCACGCAAGTCAGCTAGCCCTGGTGCTGTCACGCTATCCCAGCCATGTGCACGCACAAACAGTGGACCTCTTCCACATGTCCTTCCTGTTACTTTTTTCTTCCTCTTCTGTTTAGGTTTTCATACCTTTGCTCGCCTCTCCATTTGCCCGTCTCTGCCTATCTGACCGAAGCTACCTTTTTTTTTCATATGCAGCGTTCCTTTTTGATCTAGTGAAACAAAGAGGGATGCACAATTAAATTCTGCATGTTTTACAGTATAATACTCAGTTTGTATTCTAATCACATTACTTGTTTTATAAATACATCTAAATGTTACTAAACATTTTTCTGATTTCTTTTGTTATTTTTTCTAAAGCAACAACTAGCTTAAGAAATAACATTGACTTATTTAGTATGGAGGTCCAAAAGGGCCAAAACTCTAATTTATTTAGATACAAATAAATGAGCAGCATAAAATAAACATATCAAGAAAATGAAAAAGTTAATAATTCTTTATGTGTGTTTCTGTGGACTCAAATTGGAGGTTAATCAGTGTGTGTCAACCTTATATTATAGAATGAATAGTCGTTTTAGCATGTTTGATTATGATGTCAAATAAATTTTTTGTTATAAAAAAATATTTGCTCATAATTTATTATGGATAGGTTTGACAGATTTCCTGCCAAAGTTTGTTATGTTCTTTTATTACATTTGTTACTTTTGGAAGCACAAGATTTGTACTCTTTTATACTGTATTTTGAAAAAAGAACTTCATTAATGTTATAAGGAATTTAATGTACATTTGATGTCCAGCTTTAAATAAGTAGTTTTACACCTTTAGGCTACATATTCAATCATTAACCTGTTATTTTCATTTTGGAGGTGAACTAAAAGTAAATATAGATAACAAAAAAGCTGAATGTAAATAGCTGAGAGATTATTTGTGTTTTTCTTGTGTTTATTTATGGTATTAGGTGTCCTAAATGTTAATCCACATCTATTTCTCTTTGTGTGTGTATAGTCTTTAACAGGCTTTGCTTTGGTGGTGAGCAGTGATGGGATGGTTTTTTATGCTTCCTCCACCATCGTGGACTATCTTGGATTCCATCAGGTGAGCTGTTTTATTCATATATATATATATATATATATATAATATGTATATATAAAAGGTATAAATAAATATCCATATCAACTCAAATTCAGTCAAAGTCAGATTTACACAAATCCAAAGTCATAATATTGAAACTAAAAAGGTTTAAGGTGCTTCAGGTGTTCAGCTTTAATAATGCAGATAACTATAACTGACGTGCAACGGTGTGTTTTAGGGAAATATGGAAAACAACAATACAACAAAAAAGATAAAGGACAGTTTCTTTTGCAAAAACACAGAATAGACAAAAAAAACAATGCCGTCCTGATGTTACGGTTTTTATCATCAGTACATCCCACCCTATTAGGAATAACAAAATAATACGTTTATAATACGTTATTAATAGGTTTTCTAACAATCTGTTTTTACTGTGAAAAGAACTGACTTATTGTTTTTGATTAGACCAATTGGAGGAACCGCACAGCAGCGAAACACCGTCAAAATTATCAACACAGATATTATGCTTGGAGAAAATATTTTTAGCAAAAAATAGTCCAAGGTTCCCCAGTGTGTGAATAAAAACCTCTTGTAGCTGTTTACCACAAAATAAATCATACAGAATTTTCTTTCAATGTGTTTGTTTGGATTGGACATACTTAATGGTATTCATATTTTTGTAGCTTGCCTTTATGGATTTATTTTCCTTGTATTTGAGATCATGCAAGAAATTGGGTAAAAATTGGGCATGCTACCAGAATGTAGACTAGGTAAGATCTGGTACATGTTCCATCTCACTGTTAGCCTGTTGGATCCCATTCACCCCTTAATTCTCCGTGGAATAACCCTAACAAGGTTTTGGAAAGTTTCCCAGAAATTCTGATCCATACTGGCAGGAGTGCATACCATAGTTGCTGCAGATTTTTTAGGCTGCACATCCGTGATGCAAATCTCCTGTTCCGCTACATCCCCCCAGCTGCCTTTTATACTTAGATCTGGTGACTGTTGAGGCCACAGCTGTTCCTGCAATCCCAGCAGATCTGCATTTTCCAAAAAACTCGGCATTGTGGTACCATCAACCATGTAAATGTTCGATTAGAGACTTGCCTCAAGAAGCAGTAGAAGAGCTGTACCTTATAAAGTGGAAATGAATGTATTTGTTCACACTGTTGTGTTACGCCTGCGTGTTGGCGGATCATTGTGACTAGTACACAGATTGAAGCCAGGAAGTTACATCTGATGTGCTTCAGAGGTTCGACGACCTCTTTTTCACCCTGGCATACACTGTTTGGATGTCTCCTTGGGCTTAACCCACCAACAGTTTAACATTCTCCCTTTGCAGTGGCTGTACCCCAGCATCCATTATAAATGATATCAACACAGGCTGTCCTGTCCCGGGATGCTCACATCACCATCTTACTTTAAAACCATGAATAAAGTGCTTTTCAATGTTGTAATCTTTTTTTTTCCTCATCCCTTGTCAAACACTCTCTCACACACACTCTAACAGTTTGCTTTCATGCTGGGATAGAAATCCTGTTACAGTGATCTCTGCTGGTTTCAGAGTTGCAGGCAGTAATTTAGAGCCATTAAATCAACATGTAAACCACTGTGGTGTGAAACACCCTGCCTTACTATATGTATCTGTGTTTGTGTATTTTTGCAAGAGTTCAAAAAGACCATTAGAGGGAATTAATGTTAAGAAGCAGATATTTGAATCTATTTGCGCCACTTAGGTCAAAAAGGATTTAGAATTGTCTGCTTCAGTAACAGACTGCTGCACCCTAAATGCACCAGAGAGCGTTATCACAGGTCCTTCCTCCCAGCAGCTGGAAGACTCTATAACCATCATTGTTCCCAACATCCTCAATAAGTTGTTACATTCATGCTGATTTTGCACAGTTTCTACCTTAGTCAGTTAAATAACATGCTGCTGTCATTGTGCACATCTCTAATGTTGCTACTATTTTCAAATATCAGTTGCTATAAAAAACTCCATAGCTCCATATTGGTTATTTTATCCTCCAGGTGCACAGTCTTTATTGTTAAAACACTTTAAATGAAAGTATTTTATAGTTTATCTTATAATTCTTGACTATTATGGTATGCTTATACATTTTTCTTAGGTCAACATTTGTGTGACCATTTCTTTTTGTAATGTTTTTGCTGCTGTAAACGCACCCATCGTGGGACAGTAAAGGGATTTTCTATTCTATTCTATTCTATTTAATGCTGATTTTTTAAAACACCTGTTATATATCATGGTCAGTGAGGATTCTAATCTTAAGTGGGATGCCTTATTTAGTGTGTCAGCACACCTCTGCAAGTTAAATCACTATCATAAAACTCTGCTACAGGCGTAACCATTGTGGTATTACAACAATAATAAATAGATTTGCCTCCATACTTAAATGTGAATATTACTGAATAGTAATATCCATTTGTTGGCCAACATGAATAAACACATAAACACGTGAAAATTGTTGGTTAACATAAAAAAAAAAAAAAATATATATATATATATATATATATATATATATATATATATATATATATATATATATTTCAAGCCCAGCAAAAATAGTAATAACAGTAATAGTAATAATATTAAAAGTAATAACTGCGTTTAGTTAATCAAATAGCCATTTGCCATAAAATGTTTATTATATGCGGATTAAACAAATTGAAGCTGTGCATTTCCCTCTGTTATGTGTCATGGTGTTCCATACTCCGCGTCGTGCATTAAAACCGTGTAATGCACAGCTCCACATAGTTTAATTCTTACATATTTATCCTTTATCATATAAATTACCCACTAACTTGCATATAAAAAACACTATAAGGCAAACAAGGTAAACTCGTGAGTGGAAAGGTGATCTGCAGGGTTTGCAAGGTCCACCTGTGCTTTATACCTGAGTAAAACTGCATTACAGCATACCACCAGTGTGAGAGATGTGGTACCTGCTGTATATTAAACAAAAAATAGTAAGTTAATAAAAAAAAACGTAATAAATAAAAAAGTTAATAAGCTAAATTTAAGTAAAAAAAGTTCCTGTATCAGTATAAATGGTCTGAGTATTTATTATGTTTAAAGAAAGGTGTTTTTCTTTCTGTAAATGCTTTTCATTCATTTCTTTTAAGCACACTCTTTGGATTTTTAAATTAATTTTTTTACCATAATAGGGCAAGTGACTTTTTCTTGGCAAGTGATGCTTTGCGATGAAAATACATACATTTTAAATTTTAAAAAAGCAATACGTCTTTTTCTATCCTCCAATAACACTCAACTTGAAATTTTGAATTTTTTTTTAAGTATTTCATTGCGTGCTCTATAAAGGGCTAATGCTCTTATAAATTATGTTAATCAAGCATTGGCCATTTCCTTCTGTCTTACTGTGTATTCGGTTATATAAGATGCCAGAAAAGTGTCTTAATTTTTTCTGATTGATTCTGATTCAGCCATAACTTCATTAGTTAAGAAGAGATGATAATATATAATGATATATATTGAAAGCACTGGAGAACAAACAAAGCTGTTTTTTATTCCACATTACATTTAAATCTATGTGATGCAATCGAAATAATGACAAATGCTATTGCTAACATTACTATAACTGTTTCTATATCTTTTATTATGGCAACAGCCAGAGGGATGGCTGAAGCTTGTGTTTTAGATATAAACAATTAGATCATGTTGTAGGTTTTTGGTTAAAATTATCTTTAAGCTATGAAAACCTCATACTGACTAATGGCTAAAGCACACATGCGGCCATGCAAAGAAATAAACATTAGAATACTAATTAAATAGTCAAACCGCATCATGTACAAGTGGGTTTTTGTTGTTATTCCAGAGTGCGGTCTTGATAGTGTGACAGATACTAACCTACCGTCGTTACTCCACACAATTATAAAAATGCAAAATGTGTCAACAGAAAGAGACAAGGTATTGACACGACAGGGCATGTCCGTGAGCCATAGCATCACAGCATGCAAACCACATTCATGGGTAATTTTGGTGATCAAAAGGTTCTACTTCCCACATTAATTGCTTGCAAATAAGAGCCACCCCAAACACACGCACACATGATTTGCCTTGACAAGGCCCCAAACAAACACTTTGCACCAGCCTGAGCCCTCAACTATAGTGAGAGGACACTTATTAATATACCACAGAAAAAAAAATAAAAAAAAAATAAGTGGCACCACAACAAAAGCCCCAGAAAGGAGCAGAAAACATTTACAGCTCTTTGATCCCATTTCTCGCTGGAGCAGTTAGCCTTTGAAGGTCAGCTAAACCATCACTTACTCTCCAGTTTTGTTTTTTCTTTCGTTACCCCCTCTGCATATTTCTTTACGAGGCACAAAAACAATAGTCACTCGATCCGTTTGTGTGCCCGAACGCCAGTAGGGAACCGCAGTCTTCAGCACCAAGTGTTTTGCGAAGACGGTGGGAACAGATTGTGTTTTCAGAGGCAGGCGATCAAAAACCCTCGCGTGCCACCGCCGTGGAAATTCTGGAGCCAGGGCGGGGGTCGAGGGAAGAGGAGAAGGCTGAACGTTACAGGGAGGAATCTGTTAGGGAATGACAGAAAGCAAAAGTTATTGCTGGAAAAGAGAGAGGAAAAGCCTGCTGGAGGTGGGATGGAACCTGATTCAGTCTGTGTGAGAGTCGATGTGGATGGGGTGGGGGGGGTGGCTGAGCCGGGCTGCTGCTCAGGAGCCGGTGTCACGCAATGTTTGACAAACACAGCTGCCCGCACTGCCCATGCAGCTGCTCTTCGGGTGTTACTGCGCTGAGTAATTCCTCCTGCTTTTGTGTGTGAGTTTGAAGGGATGTACATTGATCCAGCATAACATTATGACCACCTGTCCTTATACTTCGACCTGTTCAGACATTGCCTCAGTAAGAGCTCTGAAGGTCTAAGTGTCATGATGGGTTTTAAGGATCTGACCCACATGCAGAGACACGCTCAGGAGCCAAGGTTAAAAGTTAACAGGTTTATTATGGATAGCAAAAACATAGACTGGGAGATATACAGCTGGGTAACACTGTTGGACCACAGCGGACTGGTGAACCGGAACCGGAAACACTGAAGAGGAGATCACAATAATCAGTTCAGGAGTGGCACTCACATTTATGGGGCTCTTGGTTATTCTTTGGATATAGTTTCTGGGGTTTTAACCAGAGATGAAAGAACTCGGAGGACAGTCAGACTAACGTTGGATCCAAAGGAGTATTGGAGCGGACTGTCACCGTGTTTTCCTGAAGGACTTGAACGGATCATGTGGCGGTTTCCCCTTTCTCAGTGTGACTCAGTTTTTCCTTCCAGGGGAGTAGAAGATCCAGGCTTGTCAAGTGAATCAGGAAGGCTTCCTGCCGGAGAACAAAAGACTCAGAGAGACAAGGTTAAGGTTAGACTCAGCTAATCTCAGTTTGGCTAGAGTACCCAGTACTGGCAAAGACTCCGGCGTTGAGGTAGCGACAGCCCGCTGCTCAAGTACTCCTCCTGTAATGACCCAACGAGCCGCAGGTGTGCAGAGAGGCCCAACGAGGGCAGGGCACCGCCTGGTGGTGGAGAGAGGAAAACACAAAAAACAGCCCACACAAACTGGAATCCTAACACTAAGTATTTATCTCTTTCTTTTTTGGATCAACACATGTCTTATATGTCTCTCAATCAAATGAAAGGTCGGAATGGATTTAACCTTTCAGTATGATTCACAGTGAACAATAGCAGCTGCCACACAATCTGACGGTATACATAAAACGAATCCACCAGATCAGACAATGTTCATCTAATCTGAGAAGCATATCTTGCTTTGCTAATCCGATATATATAATGTAATGCTGAATGTAAAGAGGTTTTCTTGCATCTATAGCACTGTATAAATAGAACTTGTATAAATAATAAGGATAATCAACTTTATTGGTCAATGCAAATAGACAACAATATTTGTCTTTTGCGTTAAACCCATCCCTTAGGGAGTAGTGGGCGGCTTGCAGCGCCGGGGAAGCAATCATGGGACTAAAGGTCTTGCTAAAGGGAGGCAGAGTGGCAGCGTAGTCTGTCGTCTTCAAGGATAACCCTTTAATTTAGCAAAACTAAAATAAATGTGATGAAAGGTAGACTGAAGGGAGATCTAGTGGTTCTAGTCTATTGATTGCCGATACAAGAATTGATCCTTTTCTTTAAAATCACTGGTTTCTTGAGGATCCCATGTTTCAGTGAAAACCTCTCATCCTTCCCTCCATCTAACCAAAGTTTGCCCCTACAGACTGATGTGATGCACCAAAACGTCTTTGACTACATCCACATAGACGACCGTCAGGAGTTCAGACGCCAGCTCCACTGGGCCATGTGCCCCCCACAGGGCACCTCTGGGCAGCAGGATAACCAATTAGCTTCAGGATCAAGTGCGTACAGTTAACAAGGTGGTTTTTCTATTTACAATTTTTTCTATCATATTCATAATCATTCACTCTTTTATTACAGGTGAAGACTTTGTTGTGAGCAGCATGTTTAACTCTCCAGAGGCAGGGGAAATTTCTCCCGAGCTCTCCTGCTTTCTTAACAGATGTTTCATGGCCAGAGTTCGGTGTCTCTTGGACAGCACCTCTGGATTTTTGGTGAGTCAATCACTAAATGGACCAAATGGAAACAAATTAATGAAGGAAGACAGGTACAGATTCCCATTAGTTATTGCCTCCAAGACTTTTTAATTTACAACAATCTTCCGTCATTGTTAAGTTTCTGGTGAACATTAATGACGAAGATTTTCGATAAAATGCCCATTTCTCAATCTGATGGTAAAATGCTTCAGAATTTCCCTTTATAATTTACACTGTAAAATCTCTGGACATTTTTGTTGTGAAAAAAATTAAAACGCTCAAGCTAAACCCAGATCGTGGATTAGGTCTCATCACCAGTGAGCCTACATACTCATCAA